TTGATTTGTAATTTAAATTTGGCTGGATTTCTCAGTCCCCCTTTTTATAGATCTCCTAGCCCTTACCCTGACTCCAAAATGTTTGTGCATCAGTGCAGACCATGCAATAATTATTCTGTATTCAGTAAAACATTCAAACAAATTCATTTAAAAACATGCATTCAGACTATATTTATTGTGACTTTTTAAAATGAGACTAACATTTATCACACTTGGGAGATTTAATATCACAAATTCTCATGATCAATTCCCATTAGCAAATACACAGCACCTTAAGTAGTCCTTCTAAATACATACAGAAAATTGAGGTTAAAAAACAAAACAAAAGTGCATTGTAATGTTTCAAGCAATGGTCATCAACATGGAAAAACGGGTACTATGCCTGTCAACCATACCATTTTGTGACTCTTTAAATGAAATAGTGGGTATAAAAGGGATACTTAACCCAAAAATGAAAATCATAATTTACTTACTCTCAAGTTGTGCCAAACCTGTATGAGTTTCTTTCTTCGGTTAAGCACAAAAGAAGATAATTTGAAGAATGTGAGTAACCATTGACTTCCATAACATATTTTTTTCCATACTATAAAAGTCACTGGCTATCATAAACTGCTTGGTTACAAACATTCTTCAAAATATCTTCTTTTGTGCTTAACAGAAGAAAGAAACTCATACAGGTTTGGAACAACTTGAGGGTGAGTTAATGATTGTAAAACAGATTTTTCATTTTGGGGTGAACTGTACCTTTAAATGTGTATATAAGTGTGGCATATTGATACAATTTGCGAATAGTGCCATCTACCACCTGTAGATCTATAATACGAGTTCTTACACTGGACCTTTTTCTGTAAAGAAAATAAAAATGCGAACAATTGGCATTTAATGTTCAGTTCATTCCATATTCACATCACATCACCCATCGACCATGTAAGGCGCTTGTCAGTTTGGTCAAACAGGGTCTGGTGTCTTCTCTTCACTGCTTAGGCTTCAGTGCTGTGGCAGCTACACCCACTATAATAGCAACGACGGTGAAGCCTTGAGCGAAGATACGGGCTCTCATTAGCAGCTGGGACTGTCGAGTTTTGCCCCGTCTGAAGGCGCTGAGGCCGTAGATCAATGCTCCTGCTGTTCCCAAACAACCTGAGGAGGAAAATCACAGACAAATGATAGCTATTCTACTGATCTTATACTATACAAAACAAGAATTATGCATTGACCACAAATGAACATTATCACGTGGTTTGCTCTGACAGAATCTTTCTGTGAAAGATGTTAAAACATTAAAATTTATTTTTATTTCTTCTGGCGTAACAGTCTTGCTTTTCTGTTTTTAATGGTTTGTATTTTGAGTAAAGCCCAGCTGGACTGCTGTATGGGTCACATTCAAAACCCACAGCTGGAGAGAAGGGTCAGTTTAGTGGAAAATCCACTGTGTTCTGGGATTCTGGTTGTGATTTAACTTCGCTTACTACTCACCCAAAACACTACCATTCAAAAATTTGTGGTCAGTAAGGTTGTTTTGGGGGGGATCAAAGGTGACAATATAATTAAAAGAAAAAAAAATCTATTTCACATATATGCTGTCCTTTTGAACCATCTATTAATCCGAAAATCATCCTTAATATTGAGCAGCAGAACTGTTTTTGACCTTGATAAATGTTTATTTTTTTACTATATGTTTTTACCATATTTAAATCAAATAAATGTAGCCTTCATGAGTATGAGTCTTCAATAAACATTAAAAAAAAACAATCTTACCAGCCACAAACATTTGAACAGTAGTACATGTTGGCCAAAATATTGTTACAACAGCAATTGTTAATAGTAGACTAGAAAACCTTTTTTTAACTTGGTATCAATAAGGTAGCTAGCAAAATGTACTATACATTTACAGGTGCATCTCAATAAATTAGAATGTCGTGGAAAAGTTATTTTATTTCAGTAATTCAACTCAAATTGTGAAACTCGTGTATTAAATAAATTCAATGCACACAGACTGAAGTAGTTCAAGTCTTTGGTTATTTTAATTGTGATGATTTTGGCTCACATTTAACAAAAACCCACCAATTCACTATCTCAACAAATTAGAATATTTCATAAGACCAATAAAAAAAAAAACATTTTTAGTGAATTGTTGAATTGCATGAAGTGCTCTAACATTTCTTGGTAAACGGGTGCAGTGATGTTGGTTTTCAAAAAACACAATGGACCAACACCTGCAGATGACATTGCACCCCAAATCATCACAGACTGTGGAAACTTAACACTGGACTTCAAGCAACTTGGGCATAGATCTCCTAGCCCTTACCCTGACTCCAAAAAGTTTGTGCATCAGTGCAGACCATGCAATAATTATTCTGTATTCAGTAAAACGTTAAAACAAATTCATTTAAAAACATGCATTCAGACTATATTTATTGTGACTTTTTAAAATGAGACTAACATTTATCACACTTGGGAGATTTAATATCACAAATTCTCATGATCAATTCCCATTAGCAAATACACAGCAGCTTCAGTAGTCCTTCTAAATACATACAGAAAATTGAGGTTAAACAACAAAACAAAAGTGCATTGTAATGTTTCAAGCAATGGTCATCAACATGGAAAAACATGTACTATGCCTGTCAACCATACAATTTTGTGACTCTTTAAATGAAATAGTGGGTATAAAAGGGATACTTAACCCAAAAATGAAAATCATAATTTACTTACTCTCAAGTTGTGCCAAACCTGTATGAGTTTCTATCTTCGTTTAAGCACAAAAGAAGATAATTTGAAGAATGTGAGTAACCATTGACTTCCATACTATAAAAGTCACTGGCTATCATCAACTGCTTGGTTGCAAACATTAACAGAAGAAAGAAACTCATACAGGTTTGGAACAACTTGAGGGTGAGTTAATGATTGTAAAACAGATTTTTCATTTTGGGGTGAACTGTACCTTTAAATGTGTATATAAGTGTGGCATATTGATACAATTTGTGAATAGTGCCATCTACCACCTGTAGATCTATAATATGAGTTCTTACACTGGACCTTTTTCTGTAAAGAAAATAAAAATGCGAATAATTGGCATTTAATGTTCAGTTCATTCCATATTCACATCACATTTCACCCATCGACCATGTAAGGCGCTTGTCAGTTTGGTCAAACAGGGTCTGGTGTCTTCTCTTCACTGCTTAGGCTTCAGTGCTGTGGCAGCTACACCCACTATAATAGCAACGACGGTGAAGCCTTGAGCGAAGATACGGGCTCTCATTAGCAGCTGGGACTGTCGAGTTTTGCCCCGTCTGAAGGCGCTGAGGCCGTAGATCAATGCTCCTGCTGTTCCCAAACAACCTGAGGAGGAAAATCACAGACAAATGATAGCTATTCTACTGATCTTATACTATACAAAACAAGAATTATGCATTGACCACAAATTAACATTATCACGTGGTTTGCTCCGATAGAATCTTTCTGTGAAAGATGTTAAAACATTAAAATGTATTTTTATTTCTTCTGGCGTTTCTGTTTTTAATGGTTTGTATTTTGCCAAAATCATCACAATTAAAAGAACCAAAGACTTAAACTACTTCAGTCTGTGTGCATTGAATTTATTTAATACACGAGTTTCACAATTTGAGTTGAATTACTGAAATAAATGAACTTTTCCACGACATTCTAATTTATTGAGATGCACCTGTATATTAGAAATATATTGTTGTTTTATTGTTGTAAGCGTTTGGTTTGAATCACTATTCCTCTCATAAACAATGTCGCTCTTTTTGTTTATTGTATTTCATCCCTT